TCAATTTGCAGCGCAAACTTGCCCCCAAAATGGTTTAACTAGCATAGCCAGTTGTATGAGCCTACCAAGCACCTCAAAGCCAACATGCTCCACTTCAGTCAAAAACAATGTCAAAGTTTTACAGTGTCTAAACAATGAAATTATTGCTGAAACAATAACAGGGCATTATGTCATATTTAGTCAGTTGTACAAGTGGACAGAAGCAGTGTACAAAAAATGTTAAATCATTAGCACAGGTATTGTATTGTATTTCACATGCTGCAAAACAGTTGCAAAATGTGCTATCGATTCTGAATTAAGTGGACAATGCTGGTTAGTAAGTCCCTAAATTAAGTTAGTAATTGGGTATCCCAATTATTCCCAGAGTGAGGGTGGGTGCTGCAAAAACTGAGATTGTAAATCTCTGTCATAGTTCTGTGTGGAAAGGGTTATGAAGTGCTCAGTAGATCTCTTTATTACAGTATATATTCCAGTTGCAACTATTTGGGGAGGGGGCACTCTAAAACAGAGTTTGCATTTCAAAATTACTGCAAAACACTGGTGTAGGTTTGGACTGAAATGGACTGTGACGTCCCTCTTACATGGACCATGTTATAATGTAGACTTTATAGAGCTATAAGCTCATTTAAGTGTTGAAAATCTCATTTTAAACAAAATTCCTGTTTAAACAATCAGACTTCAGAGGAATCCTGTGTTTGAAGATTAATCACCAAACAAAGCAAGGTAAAAAGGAAACTCCAAGGGAAAGCGGGAGAGGGTGGGGATAGTTTTGATATGACACTCTCACAAAATTCTTACTTATAAATAACTCATCATTAGAAGAAGAAAATTCTTAACATCTGATTTGGCCCTAAGAAGAGATTTTGAGTCAGCCTTTTTGCTGCTCGCTGGATAGCTCTGAGAGTTAGGCATCTAGTTCAGAGTTCAATTCCTCACCACACCTCCCTGGAGAAAAGCCAGCCTGTGCAGCCTTGGGTAAGCTCCACGGGAATGGAATGATAAAGCCAGAAAAAGGAACGGTAAACTACACCTGGGTACTGTTTACGTAGAAAACCTTTGAAAGGGTTGCCTAACTGAGAATCAACTTGACAGCAAGCAATTATTATTATTATACAGCACTGTATAAGGCTTACGTCTTCAATCGTGCCTACTCTGAGCTTCATATACACTATAAGGTGCCACAGAAAGGCCAGTCCACGAACTGTTTCCTGTATCAAAAAAAAAAAGAAAAAAAAGAAAAAATCTCTGAGATTCATATACACTAAGGTGCCATAGAAAGGCCAGTCCAGGGACTGTTTCCTGTATCAAAAAAAAGAAGCAGAAGTGTCTTATCATTTCTGTGTCAACGCAATCCTGTACATAACCTGAACCAGATACATGTTTAGGGGACCTGAGGAAAATGCCCTCTGATAGGGCCCTTCTTTTGTGGACTCTGGCAGGAGTTGCCTCTTTAATTTCCCACAGTTCCAGAGAGGGTTGCTCTATATGTGGACCTTATGAGATCTGAAAATGGAAAATACCTATATAGAAATAAACCTGGTCTCAATGCTTCGTTTGATGTTCGAGAAAAAATTAACAAGGTAAGGAAAGCAACTGTAAGGTGAATGAATAATAGGAATCAAGACATTGATCATTTGGAAGGAGAGAGGACTCTTGGGTGAATAAGAAAAGTGCTAAATAAGAAAAGTGCTGACTTGCATTGTGGAAGTATACTAAGAGAACCATTACTATTGACTGGGGACAGAGTGAGGTGATCTATTGAACAGCTCTGGAATCAATGTGTGCAAAAATGCACACCACACTTTTCTTGGCAGCTTTGCCCATTATAATTCCTAAACAACATACGCATGCATATGGCTTTTATTTTTCTCAGTCTATCAATATAGTGCTAAATATGTACTAAGTATATGTAAGCACGCCACAACTTAACACACATTTTACTGCAATAATGGAATCTTGTTTTGCAAAAGAATGCAAGACTTACAGCCTGTTCCTATGCACAGCTGGTCAGAAGCCAATGACTGAATTTATATGGGAGTAACTCCCTCTGTCCCACTCACAGAATGTCTGACCAAGAATCAGGAAACTAGGGTTCAAACACCACTTGGCCATGGAAATTCACTGATGTTTGCGTGTAACTGATAAAACCATTCCTTAAATGTCTCACTTACTTTGAAATCCCTATTAGGGTCAGTATAAGTGATACATATAAATGGCCCAATTTGATGGCACATAAAACACACATACCTCCAGCTTAACGGAAGAGTGCAAAGATCTTTTGAAATTCTGGACATCTCCATCTCCTCATATCTAAAGAGCACGGGAAAGGAATATCTGTGATACACTTTCTAAAACCCAAACTGTCTAGGTAATAGGAACAGTGAATGTTTGAAAGGAAAGTATAAACTTTAAAGGCTAAAATTTCTACCTCTCCCTAGAATTTGCTTTTGTTTCTAATTACTGTACAGTACTTGAAAATGTTTCTACAGTATTGCTCTTATATGCTATCATGTCTCCTCTGATCTAAGGTGGTCCCATGGATGAGCAATTTCCAAAATGACCTGTTTTTAACAGTTCTGCTCAGCTTTTGTAAATTAAAACCTGTACAGTAGTTTCATTTAGGAAGTCAGTCCATCTCATATTTGGTCTTCCTCTTTTCCTACTACCTTCTGCCTTTCCCAGCATTGTTGTCTTTTTCCGAGAGTCTGCCTTCTCATGATGTGCCCAAAATAGGATAGTCTCAGTTTCAACATTTTCCCCTCCAGAGACAGTTCAAGCTTGATCTGCTCTAGGACCCTCTTGTTTGTCTTTCTGGCAATCCAGAATCCCCGAAGCTCTCCTCTAGGACCATATTTCAAATAAATCATTTTTCCCTCTCAGCTTTCTTTACCTTCCAGCTTTCTCACCCATACATGGCGACTGAGATTACAGGAGTGTGGATGACCTTGGTCTTGGTCTCCAGTGACACATCTTTACACTTGATGTTTTTTTCTAGTTCCTTCACTGTTGCCCTTCTAAGTCTCAATCTTTTTCTGATTTCTTGGCTGCAGTCTCCATTTGGATTGATGATTGGACCAAAGTATGCAAAACATTTCACTATTTCAGCTTCTATATTGTCAATGTTAAACATTGTACAGTTCTTTTGTAGTCACAATTTTTTTCTTCTTAATGTTCATCTACAGTCCTGTTTTGGCCCTTTGTTCTTTCATTTTCACTAAAAGTCATTTCAAGTCTTTGCTGTTTTCTGCTAGTAAGATGGATCTCCATATCTTAGTTTATTGATGTCTCTCCTACCAATTTTCACACGTCTTTCATCTGAATCTAGTGTGGTTTTCCATAGGATATGTTCTGCCTACAGAATGAACAGATAAGGGGATAAAATCACCCTTGGCTGACAACTTTGGCTATAGGAAAACATTCTGTCTCTCCATGTTCTGTTTTAATGGTAACCTTGCCCTCAGTATAGGTTATGCATGAGGACAATCAAGAGATGAGATACACCAGTTTCCTTCAGAAGAGCTCATAGCGTCTCATGATCCAGAGACAAAGACAACTAGAACAACCAGTGCAAAGATGTAGAGAACAACAAAAGGGGAAAAACAAAAGATATCTTCCAGAAGATCTAAGAAATCAAAGAGAAATTTAAGCCGATCAGGAAAGCTGAACAACCAACAGAGAAGTAGGCTATCTCACCAGGAGAAAATAAAGAGAAACAGTATACTGAAGACCTATAAAGGAAAGATTAAAGGATGACAGGCTCCTTTGAAAAGGAATCCTATGAGTTTCTATTGTACCTCCTGTGGAAAAGTTATCTCAACAAATATAAAAGTTACCACAGTACTGATCGCCAATCTGACAAGAAGCAAAACAGAACAGACCCTTACAGGCACTGCTTCCTTAAAATGAGGGGAGATGCTGAATAATTTTGCCATATAATAGTAGTAGCTGCAAACAGTATATAGAGAAAATGGAGTTACAGTAATTCTCATTTCTCCTCACCCCCCTTGGCGTTTTGCAGAAGTAAAACTTCGCAGAGCCTGAGCGATACAGTATATAGTATATAGAGAAAATGGAGTTAATTCTCATTTCTCCTCATCCCCCTTGGTGTTTTGCAGAAGTAAAACTTCGCAGAGCCTGAGCGGGGTTCGCCTGCGATAAGGACACATCGTTACCTTATTAAGGCAGCATAGTAACCCTTATAAGCGAAACAAGGCGCACGCTAATTTCCATCCATCAGTTCCACGCAACCCGATCCTATCGAGGTTTATGGGGAAGCTGAATCCCCGCCCCCCCGTAGGAAAAGGCTGAAGTCAAGCCTACAATAGATTGCCATCCTTGGCAAAAACCGAAACAAGAACGGCTGTTTTTCACTTGGGTATATGCCAGAGTCTTTGGAAGCGGGTGCGTGCGTCAGGCTTTGCGGAGATCCACGTGCTTCCGAATTGACGAAAAGAAAACGCAGGAAGAGAACCCGAAGCAAGGTTAAAGATCAGCGGCGACTGGAGCCGCCTTCTGGACGCCGGGTAAGGCTATTTCCCGTTTTAAGATGGGCAGGCTTTTTTTGTTTATGTTTTGGGCCCGCCTTCTCTTGCCGACGCGGAACTGTCATTGGTGGAGGCTGCCCAGGGCTTACTGTACGTGCCAGTGGCTTCTGCACATGATCCGGTAAGTGGGAAACTGAAGCATTTTATTAAGACGGAGGAGGTGTTCTAGGAGGCTGTCAAATCTGTAGTTTTGAGAAGCTCCTCGGCGAGGGCAGAGCGGGACGTTTTCTTCTTCTTTAAAGACTCAGTTTTGAATCTAGGGATGATGATGCTGAGACTTGAGTGGCTCCAAGATGGGGTGACAACATCCCCGAAAGCGGGGAGAGGATAAGGAGAAGGTATAACGCTCAAGATCACCTCCTCCTGGTGATCAGGCGGATTCCGTTGTTTGTGTTTTTACTAGACCTCTGAGTCCACCAGCTGTTACATAGTTCCTTGAATAAGGAACCGAGTGCTTGGTTTGCTTTCACATAAGTGATTGCGCTCACCATTGCTTAACGCACGGATCTACTCCATGTGATTTTAATTCACCATCCCGATTAGCAGCAGATATCCTTCCTCGAAATCGATAATCGTCAGGAACCAGATAACCTTTCTGATAAACCAGAAACCTAACACCAGATCACAATCTGTCTTTAACTCACTTTACTGGAGGATGCCCTGGTGTGTCAGCAGAAACCAGTGTAAGTCAGAGGGGCAATTTCTCCTTCCCATTGCAGCCTCACCTGTGAACTTGCAAAAATCCATTTCCCCCCCCCAAAAAAACCCCCTTCTGGACCCAGTTTTCAGGCAACTCCCATGGTTGTGGGGGGGGAAGTTCTGATGCGGAATCTAGGCCTAGCTCCATTGCAACATCCTTGGTTGTAAACATAATATACGTTATAATTGCTTGTAGATACTGTGTTTGTTATTCTGACCAATTCTATTGAATTGGTTTTGTGGGTATTTCTGTCATTTCCAAGGTGAAGCCAAAATTTGGTACTTCTGTGAACTGTGACTGTTCACAGAGGTGGCACTGCTGAAATAATTTGTATGCAGCTAATCAACAACAAGCTGGTTCGATATCTCAGTGGTTTAGGGGTCTGGCTGTGGAGCTACAGGCTGGGAGTTCAGATCCCCTCTGTGTCTCCTGGGAGAACAGCCAGCCTATGAGACCTTGGGCAAGTTGCAGTTCCAGCGCTCCTGTAGAAGAAGGGAATGGTGAACCACTTCTGAGTATTTTCTACCTGGAAAGCCTGGAAAAAAGTCACCATGAGTCTGAATTGACTTGATGGTAAAGCTTGGGAAAAGGTCACCATGAGTCTGAATTGACTTGATGGTACATGATTATTGTAATAATAAAAAGCAAACATACAGCGTGACTAGATCAGGGAAGTTAGAGCTATTTGGTTCGCACTTCAGGGGCTGTTTTCTCCAGTGCAGTCTATTTTATATTGCACTTGCATGATCTTTGCATTTGTACTGGATCTGTTTCTTCACCCATGAGAAGGATCCAGCTAGCACTTCAGATCCCTCTGATTTCTCCCCTTTCAAAAAGGGGTGCTATGGATTGCTGTTACTGAAAACATATGTGGTCACCAGAAAATAGGGCTGACCAAACCAAACCGAAAGCAAGCCAAATATTGCGCTAGATGCCTATCTGATCACCTTCATCATTGTGCTGGCCCTGGAGGGAAAAAACAGAAGGATACCTGGGGAATAAGGAATGTGTAGAGCCAGACTTGCATTTTCATTATGAAAAATTTGCTTGCTTTGATCTTTGGAACTTAGGCAGAAGGGGAAATCTCATCGCTATTGGCTAAGAAATGTCACAATGATACCTGAGTGCAGCTGAGTGGCCACAGAGACCTATAGATTCAAGGAGTGCTCAAGTAGTTAAAAGATGGGGGGAGGGAATCTTAGTTTAACAGAATGATTGGATTAAAAAATGACACACTTGCCATTTAACCCAGTTACCAGGCAGATCCTTAAATAACAAAAACATTTTAGCTCATTTGGAAAAATTCTATTCCATCACAAGGAAATAACAGATGAGAACTGCTATGCTAAATTGCCCCCCTTCAAAGATAATAATGTTGTACCAAGCAGGTTAAAAGCCCAGGTAAACAACTTCTTACAAGGAACACAGGTAACTCCAGACTGGTTTAAGGTGCTTATAAGAGGTATTTCAGCTTGTTCAGGGAATCTAGTAGTAAAGTACCATGGACGAATATTAGGAGATTAGAGCGATATTGAAAAGATAGCGTTAGGGAAAGTAACAGATTGGATATTGACATCCATTGTCTTAAATCTGATTGTTAATTCCAACTAGAGTAGAACAAGTGGAACTGAATAAGCCAACTGTTATATAAATTCCATGGATGCAGTGTGTCTACTCTGAGTTAGAACTAACAATTGGATTTAGGCCCCATTTCCAGAATATAGCAGTGTTCTGACAATAGGGATAAGAAGAGTTTGGTTTATGTTGAGGGGACAGTAAAGGAATCCAGGAGTGGCTGCAAATTAAGTGAACAAACATCGCTTTCAGATAATAGCCATGGTTCTTCAGTGATCACTAAGAGAATCCGTGTGGTATACATTATTAGAGAGTACGTAAAGAGAAGTGATACTAGAAGAAATCAAGTGGACAGGAAAGAATGGCAATGAAGCAGTAGAGTAGTTCCTCTTAATTAGAGGAAGTTGTGGTGGTCTGTTTTATGGCTGAAGGTAGTAAAGTGGTGATAGCAACCCTTACATTATCTAGAGGGTTTTGCCCATGTTCCTGAGACAGTATTATCCAGACATTTGTGCAAAAATGAACTAGGATACATATGTTGGAAGTAAGAGATATTGAATAACCAGTGGCATGTGAAAATGACAGAAGTGGCTTTGACATTCCATGATTGCATTTTAAATTTTTTAGATTTTGTTTTGCTTCCAGTGTATCTAGTGTATAAGATCTGTTCCCCTCTTGCCTTTTAGAGAGATTTTGATGCATATCTTTTCTTCATTTTCATTTACTCTGCAAGTACTGTACTTCATTAGTTCCCTTTTATATTTTTGACCAGAGAATGGGAATCCAAAGGGCAGTGTAAGCCACAAGGGGGAGTAGTGAATACGTATATAGAAAAAGTTTTGAATGCTGTTTACCGTAGCATAGCTGCTGACTTCTGTGGATGTGTTTAGAGGTAGTTATTAGGCATGCACTAAATTCATTTAGCTGTTTAGCCTTGCCTTGCTCTTCACTGGACTGGAAAAGAAGCAAGTTGACTTAGTAGGCTAATAGGTAAGTAGACACTGCCTCTACCTGTTAAGTGTTTTATAGCTAGCTACATGGCTGAGATTTTATACGTGAATTTTAAAATTGCAGCCAGTGAGGAAGTATTGATATAACGTTCATATAGCTATGTGATTTAGAAACATTGTTTGTTTGAGGCTGAGGAATCTCAAGCTGCTGTGGATTAATGATATTTTTGGCAGGAATGTCTCTTGACCTCTTTATTTTGATAGCTTTTTTCCCCTGGATTTTCTTGAAAACCTAATAAGCTATTGCCAATCAAATTGTAATCCCAAACTGTTTTGAGATACTGTGATGAAAACTGACTCTGGTCTTAGCTTCCTGGTGATTAAAATGATCCTCTTTCTCTGTTCCACTCAGATACACTTGAATCACCGAAAGCCTGCTGCTGCCGTAAAACAATTTGGCAACTTTCCTTGGCTTGGGAAATGTTCTGTAACAGATGCTTTTTGGCCTTTTTAACCAAACACATTTGTAATTTATTGCCCACTTCCGGGATTCAATCTCAGTCTTCAGAAGCCAGCTATGTAAAATAAACAAAGTAGTTTGCACCTTGAATGCGAATTAGGATTATGACTTGTGAGTTATTGTTGAGTGGAGCTTCAACCATATAGTTTGTTACCTGGAAGTGAGCTTCACTGAAATAATGAACAGTTGCTCTCAAGTAGATGTCATAAGATTCGTCTGTAAGCATCAAAACCAGGAAATTTTCCATTCAAGATTCATTTTTGAAACAAGCTATCTGTGAGCAATTGCCCCTTGTTCATCTCTGCATTTTACATTGCTGCCTACCCTTTGAGAGAGTTGCAGTGAAGTTGTTGAGATAACATATTGAAACATTTTGAACATGCCATCATTGCCCAGACACTTATTTCTTCTCTTCTTATCTTCCAGTGATAGTATAAAAATTGTGCTATATAGATCTGCATTTATTTCAAATATCTGTTGGAGTTATCTGTCAATTTTACATGCTTTGGCCAGTAGTTCAGTACTTTGCTGTTCCTAGGTGCAATTACTTGTAATAGCTAGTATATCAGGATTCATCATGGGTCTGAATCTGTTAATTTGATACAGGGTAATTGTGACTGCTGTCACCATCACCTAGAATAACAACTCCATGAAGTCAAGACTTGTTACTGCTCAAAATAGACTTTATTAAGTTGCGGATAGGGTATAATGGTTAGTTGGGTGCCTGTTGTACCTTGTCGTGACAGACTGCAGGGCAACTGACTTAATATCATTAGCCTCACGTTGCCTCCAGTTCTCAACCAGAATCAAGTTTGCATCACTGAACTGGTACAGTCCATAGTCTGTAAGGTCCAGTTTTCACACTGACACTTACCAATTGATACCTTTTAAGAAGAGTTGGTAAAGCCAAGCTAGCACAGACTCCTGGTTTCTTCAAGCCCTTCCTCCCCCTGTGATGAAGCTCTGGTGAAGGTGCTCCTTTTGTATCTTGGTTTCTTCAAACCCTTCCTCTCCCTGGCAGCTGTAATGAAGCTCTGGTGAAGGTGCTCCTTTTGTCATTTCCTCCTCTGGGTAAAAATGGAATCAGACTGCCTGGCTGGTCATCTTGGCCTGCAGTGGGGGTTGGCATCAGTGTCAGGCTGAATGCCTCCCCCACCCCCTGCTCTTTGGCAAGTTGGAACTGGACTCATTCCCTGGTGCAAGGATTCTTGACTACCAGTGGGTGGTCCTCATCAAGAATGCAGAAGATGGGGACCACATCCTCTGCCACCTCTATCTATTCCTCTCCCTTTGTTGTCCATTGAGTGGAATGAATTCTCCTCCTCTTCTTCCTTCTCCTTTAAGCCTAGGTCCTGCCAGCCCAGCCTGGCCTCTGCCCCCTCATTCATGTTCACCTCATCTGCCTCTTTCCTTTCATCTATGCCTTCATGCTGACACTGTGTTTTGGCCTAAATTTTAACTTCCGTATGCCTTCATGCTGTGTTTTGGCCTAAATTTTAACTTCCCCAAGCCAACTAACTACCTATATCAAATTACAGTACCAAGATATCGCTTTGCCTTTTCAAGGGCTAGATTTAATTGCTTTCTCTCAGCCCTTTTAAAAGGGCATTTTAATAGCATTCCATATGGTGAAAGGTTCTGCCCCCGTGGGATAGAAATTAGGGAGATCTTGGTGCACATCATTTTGGAATGTAGCTAATATAGGAACCAACGTATCTGATATCTCAGTTCAATCATGAGTAAATGTATTGGTCAACATCCCACAGGCTATCTGAAGTTTCTGCTGTCCGGGGAGAATCAAATAATAACACAGTTAGTGGCTACGTTTTTATTTTTAGCTGTGAGAATTTGTAAAACGCTGTAGCAAGATTTTATACTATACGTGAGAATTTGCAAAATGCTGTAGCAAGATTTTATACTATACTATGTATTCTATGT